TGTTTTTTTTTAAAATTTTATACTTAAAAATGGTTCTGAATTAAAAAATGAATTAAAAATTCTGCAAAAAATAATTTTTGTGGGACAAATTAAAAGTTATGACGTAATTTATTTTTAAATAAATTCTATGCAGTTTGTTTTATTAAGGATAAAAATCACAAAACGGTCAAAATGACCGCTGCGGGCGTTCTAGTGTTAAGATGAGAGACGTGTTTGAGGAACTTAATGTATATGTTTATAATCATGCAAAAATGTCAATAAAATTATGATGACAAAAGTGTAAGTGAAACGTTATCAGAAAATGTTTAATATTCTGAATTACAGCGCTTTCATCACCTTATTCTATCCTATTTGTGGAAAGAAACAAAAACAATATAAACATTAGCGATTATAAGATGAAGAATGGGAACTTTGTACCCATTAATAATATACCTAGAAGGACTTCTTTCATCGAAACCATGAGTCAAAATCAAACGTTATTAGTTCACCAGAGCTCATTTTCATTTTATGTCTTGAAAATGTTGTTCGAAACAGTGAAAGGTTGATGTTAATATTTAAATAAATCTATCATGTTTAAAACTGCCGTTATCGCAATAATCTTGTTGAATAACTCAGTGAATAACGATAACTAAACAACAACTCAATTATTGAAATCAATCAAGTAATTTTCTTGCATTTTGTAATCGATATCTCCGTGAAAAATATTTAAGAAACTAAACATCAAATATTTTTTTTCTTTGCTATATTTCTGTATTTTATTGGAGAGACAAATTTTGACCATTTCACTATTTCAAGTCAATTTATTTGACAGTTCAATTGTGAGACTGAAAGACTTAGATGAACAATCAGATCAAAATCAAACATTGTTGAATAATTGACTAACTCCACAAATCTATAATTTACTATATAAAAATAATTTTATATACAAAAATGACATCTAGAAAAATATAATACTAACTCTCTAATATAAAATCTAATCATTCTATTCATCATTATTTTCTCTTAAATTTCTCTCATCTAACGTTATAACATCAGCATCGGTATATACCCGATGATAAAAATTATTTCTACGATGTTTTAATCTTTTAATAAAACGATTTATTAATTTGATAATAACAACAAAAATTAAAATGGCCATAATAAAAAGAATTAAATATTTTGTTAAAGATGATATTCTAATAGATGTTTGATCACATAAATCGTCTGCTGCCACTTCATAAATATTACATTTAATTCTCACAGCTCTTTTAAGTACATCATAATATTTATAAGTTTCACTTGTAAAATTTAACCATTTTACAAGAGTTTTTAATGAACAATCACATTTTATATTATTTTTATATAAATCAATTGTTAATAATTGTTTTTGATTATCTAAATAACCTTCTAATTGTTCAATTGACATATTATATAATGATAAATGTGTTAAATATTTACTCATCGGATGAAATACATTCCAATTTAATATTTTCATATCTAAATGATTATTATTTAATATTAATGTTTGAATGGTAGTTAAATTATGAAATAGATTAACATTTTTAAATGATCTAAAATTAATATTACTTAAATCAATATATTTTAATTGTGATAAATTTAATTGAACATTATTGTCTAATGTTAACTGATAATTTGAACTTAAATTTAAATTATACGTTGTTTGACCATGTAAATAAACAAATTTCAAATTATTATATGATAAATCAATGGTGTGTGGTGATTCACGATGCCATTTTATATTTATTTGTTCAATAATATTATGACTTAAATTAAGATTATCCATTAATGCTAAATTGTACATACCATTTTGAAAATGAATTTCATTCAAATTACTAGATAAGAAAATAAAAAATATATACTAACAAAGGGTAAAAATGTATTTTGATCACCAAAAATATGAGTTTTGATTACCAAAATGTATTAAGTGTGAAATGATCATCAAATTTATAATTAATTAGATAAATGAAAAGGAAAAGCAAAACAGAAAATTTGATTATTGAGTAATTATTTAAAAATGATCAAAAAAAAATCTCTTCTGATGTTTTTTTGATCAAAATTGTTTTCTCAACATACAATCATAGATTCATGGACTTTTCCTGGACCATCTTCATCTTACCTTTTACCTACGCTTGCCCTATAGAAAAATAACATCGATTGGCGCGCATTCTCTAGATGTTCTAACCATCATAGACGTGTGCATACACGTTGAAAGATTCTAATTTTTAGGTGACAGTGTCACAAAAGCCTACAGAATCGTAAATTCTATATAGCAAGCCTATCCATATCTGCCAGATGATTCTTCAGAGTTTCTTCAATTTGTCTTACAACGATATAAGAAAAATTTTTCACAATTCTTATTTTTTGGTGATCATTTCACACTTAATAAAGGCGACTAGAACTTTTTGACCCTAAAACGGCATATATATGAGCTTGTAGAGGAAGACTTGCTCTATCCAGTAGTGTATATATTGTCGAATTCTAATGTGTACCGTCAGAGAAAATCAAACGTAACCCGTCTTGTTTTTAGACATTTTTAGAAATTTATTTTATTATTGAGTTTAATATTGTGCACTATAGAGTAAAATGTCGTCTGCAAAATAAGACCACACCCAGCTGTCCAAGACCTTCCGTTGAAGAGATACGAATTTTTTAAAGTTTGTTACTTTACACTGGAAAATCCCTACTTTTTTTACTTTGAAAACTTTTTTCTCTTCTATTCAGTAGTGGATAAACTTCTGAAACAGTCAATCTTGTAGAGTAAAGATTTCTCTACAAAATGAGATATCTTCAGCTCTCCACCATGTTTTCTGATAGAGTTATAATCATTTTGCTGGAAGCCTTTGAAAAAGTCACATTTGTGATCTAACCGTCCAAAATCTTTATTTTACAAGATTGACTGTTTCAAAAGATTATCAACTACTCAATGGAAGAGAAAGAAGTTTTGTAAGTAAAAAAAGGTAGAGATTTTCTAGTGTAAAGTAACAAACTTTAAAAAATTCGTATCTCTTTCAACGAAAGGTCTTGTAGAGCCTTGTTGTAGTCTTATTTTGTAGAGGACACTTTGCTCTATATAATGCAGAATATTAAACTCAAAAATAAAAATAAATTCTACAAAAAAGGAGAAGTTATCTTTAATTTTCCCTAACTTTATCCTATGACTAATCCTAAATATTAGGATTCGATAATATATACACTACTGGATAGAGCAAGTCTTTCTCTACAAGTTCATACATATCTCATTTTGTGATACTCTGAAACTTATAGTCACCTTTGATAATCAAAATTCATATTTTTGGTGATCAAAATACATTTTTACCCTTTGTTAGTATATATTTTTTATTTTCTTATCTAGTAATTTGAATGAAATTCATTTTCAAAATGGTATGTACAATTTAGCATTAATGGAT